TCCACACAACGGCCGACGATATTTAAACAGCACTTTTATCGAAATTATAAACATGCATAAAGCCAATCGGGCGGCCATTTTCATGCAAAGTACTCTTTGAAAACATCCGGCTAAATTAATAACGCTGAAACCAGGAACAGCTCGCTGGTTTTTGCGTGTATACATATATACATATACCTATTGAATTTTCCGGATGGTCAGACACTTGAAGAGCTATTCACCTGTACAACATTTGGGATGATTTTAATTAAATTGAAGACAAATTTGTTGAAAACAAACAGGATTTAAAATGTGTTGTCGATTCTCAAAACTAATTTTCCGTTTGGTGTTTAAAAGATAAGTGAGGATAGATGTTTACAAAAATTGTCTATTCCGCCAGATAGATAGCCGCTTTAGGTGGATGATCAGAGAATTTTATTAGAGTCATCTCAGCGTAGAACACTAATATCGGTATGTCAATCTGGTAAGGGCAAAAAGTAAAAAAGTAAAAAATTTGAAGCGCTAGCGTGATCATCGCTTTCCAGGAATTGCCTCCGTCTGCACGAGAAGGTTGTCTCTGACGTCATACGAGGAGCTGATCTTCAAGCGTTGACACGCCAAGCGAGAACGAGGAAGATCGTAATCTACCTTTGAAGTGTGCAAATGAGGCAAATGTGTCAATATCTTCAGGATGTTCGTTTCCAAATTGTGTTCCCTCAAATTTCTTCATGCACGATTGTATGAACTGTTCACGATCCCCACTGGCTTGATTTTCACTCCCTAATTAAGACAAGAGTCACGAAAGAGGGATCGAAAGCGTGTATACATGCGTTTATATATCTTTACTCTGTGAGAACGTAGCGTTTAAGGCGGTTTTCTGATTATGTTTATATAGACTGTTTCCAAAGCGTTAATCAAAATTCGAGCAGTGATTTTTTGAGCTATTCTGATACCTCTTTGCCTTGAGAATGCAGCTTTTTTATAAGCAAAAATTACTAGAAATAAATACTTTGAAAACTCAGTATACCGCAATAGAATAACCCATAATTCTATGATCGTTGTCATGCTACTGAAAGCATAAAACCTTCACTGCTATATTTATTAGATATAAATATAATGCGTATAGGCTATTATTTTCTTAGTTTCTATTTTAGTGGCATATCAAAAACTGACCATTCATTGAAAATACTTGTATGTCGACAAAAGCATATTACCTTAACGTCATCTTAGTTATTCTGAAGGTATTAGACAGCACTAGAGATAAAACATCTGTTCAACATTCAACCTGCAATGTTTCGTAATGCCGTTTCCGGACTGCAAAATTTTTCATTACAATCCCACCAAGTGCTAAAGTATTCAAACTAACAATAGCAATATATTCTTACAGCGCACTGTTGCAGTTCTGCTAAATACTTTAGCTCATTATTATTGTTTGTAATATTTTGCTTTCTAGAAAATGGTCTACCGATGGAGCTCTTACAGCAGGAAGATTGAAAGAAATTTCATACAATTATAGTATACGTAAAAAAACATTTTGTTCATTGTGATAATAAAGAATAACAATTACGACTAAGCTTTTTTGTTTTTTCTCATCTAATTTTCATGTATGGATGAGCTTGCTGAATATATTGGTAGCCTGAGGTAAATTATGGGAAAAGTGGTGTTGGGTACAAATAGAGAACGAAAACACGCCTTATTTGTAGAACGATATTAGTATTGAAGCTACGATTTTTAGGTGAAGGGGTGGAAGGAAATTAAACCGCAACCCTTTATCCCGTGCTCAATTTTGCAATTATGTCCAATTGAACGTCTGCGCCTATCAATTTCGCATGCCCTCTACGTAAGTTGACGTTAATTTGTATTGGAATTGCAGCGGCGTTTATCGCATAATACGAAACGAGAGCTGAAACTGTATTTGAATAATCGACTGTGCGCACCGATTGACACTAACTGTGTCTATTCATTAATAATTACGATCGCAGGCTTTGAATGAGATCGTTAATGCCTCCTCTCCCCCTTCACCTCACTGTCAACTGCGTCGTCATCCCCATTTCCTTCGGGATTGGATTCGATTAAAACAACCCTTGTGACCAACCGGACTCTAATAGCTAGTTTGCATATATTCCTTCACGTTAATTCATTGCATTATGATTGAAGGACAGAGCTCGATAATACACTCAGGTGGACTAGGACTCTAGATGTCATCAGTATGATGTCACCCCTCCAAATGGTAGATTTTTATCCTGAGGACACCTCACTTGCATCAAATGTATTCTTAGTTGCGAATAATAAAATAATTATAAAAAATCCCTTTGAAGGAAGATGGTGCCTTCCTTTATTTCACAGATTTCCTTCAAGGTGTGTAATGGGCACTTATTTTGGTCATTATAACTACTAAAGTGGTAACGACAACACTCCGTATAATTATGGAGTAGCTGAAATTGTTCGAGATTGGCGAGAAGGTTGGATGCTTATGCACAAGACTATAATTTAAAATTAAAATGGTGTAATAATAACAGATTTGGGACCAATTTCACCAACATTAATATTTAATGGTCACTTGGACCAACGGGAAAATACCTTATCGAAATGCAATTTGACGGAAGCTGTCAAAGGTCTCTGAATATCAGTGATTTATACTAAAATATTGAATAAGATCGTGAAAATTCGACTGTATTATAAACAAGACCCCTTCTTGATTCCAAAATGATGCTTTTGCACAGATAAAACAGGGCAACTTTCATGTATTTTGATTTCTGTTATAAATTTACATATAACAATCCGTTATCCCCTATGTCAATGGGAATGCGGCAAATAGTAGGTCGATTTTCTAGCTGTTAAATTTAACAGCAGGTTTGGACTTTTGTTAATTGATAGCAATCCCGAATTTGTTAAGTTCAATATACTGAGTGTTTGTATGTTATCATTATAGATATATACCTGTTGAATAGTGTGTATCTGTGTGTACTTTGTAAGAAAATAGAATATGTATGTATGTATGGGGGGGGGAGGGGGTTGGCTTTGGACAAAATTCCATTAGCCACAGATTTTTTAAATTTGTATTACGTGGTGCATTATATCACCACATTAGCTAATTTTGCGAACTCAACTGTTTTGTCCAGGATGGACTTTCTTTTTAAACTTAGCAATGATGACAACTGGATTGGAAGTGACATTCGATCCTCCAAAATTAATCTATGTATTAAATTAGAAACATGAGGCTCATTTCATGTGCATTCACAGAAAATATGGTTTAAATCTGCTACTTTGGTGTTGTCACAGTCGCACCAGTTATTATCAATGTAATTCTGTAAAGGTGGTCTCCGAATCTACCATGATTTATTCTCAATCTCGTTACTAGGGTAGAGTGAAATAGAATATAAAATACATTCCAAAAAATTCCTCATCTTCCTTTACATCAAAATAGTAATCATTTACTAATTTATGGGTTAATGAATTTCTTCAAAGCAATAAAAACATTATGTCCTCAGCATCCTAAAATAATATGTGTAAGACGTGTCAATCCCTACATCTTCGTGATGCATAATGCATTTACTATGGACATAGACAAAAAATTATGAAAAATTTCTCACAAATCACGTCTTTTAAGTCAAAAAATCATAAAACCTAATAATGTTTATTGTTTGTCTGGCGGGGATATCCATCTGCCACTCACAGGGTTGCCAAGTCTAACGACGTTCACGTCCCGTGGTGGAGGGTACGACACGAATCTTTTACATTTGCTGGTTTTGAATATAAAGTAGGAACACAAACATAGTACTTATGATAGTTGGAGCTAGACTGACATCACTTCTTGAAGAATATTTGAAAATTGTGAACACAATCATGGTCTGCTGTATCTTCAAATTGCAAATGAAGTATCTCAAAATTCATACTTACAGTGGATCTTCGTCATAGTTTACTATCCTGATTATGATCATCTTTGGCAGATGTGATGTACCATCAAATTGATGAACAAATATAAGAAAGCTCTGATATACCTATGTAGAGCGGATTTTTCAGGAAAATTTACTACGTATCATGATTATAACCACCTTTGGTAGATGGTTCGATCCCGAATGGGAAAGGTCTCCTATTTATGAAAATATTTTTGATATTATGTAACCGTTGCAATCAGTGCACAAAAACTCTGACATATGACTAACAGCACAACCCGCTGCCGTATCAACACAAATTTAACATACAGATCGCCTAGCGGTGGGGATGCAGTGGTCAGGATGAATACATATTACACTATCGTGTACACGGTAAGTCTGCACTAACCGCCAAACACGTGGTTATGTTGAGTGTACCATGTACCATCGCCAATAGTGTGACTGATTATACACTGAAATCAAAACAAGAAACTGCAACTGCAATGGTATGTATGATTGTTGAAAATGTTGAACAGTTTCGCACCAGTGGTGTTAAAATATCGTTGAGGAACTGGAAAGAAGTGTATGAATGTGTTAAAACACAACACCTAAAAAAATTTTGAGAGAAAAGGCTTTTTCATGTAACGGTCTGGAAGTGCAAATTTGCAAATGTATAATAAACTATAGACACACGGTAGGTGATGTGATGTGATGTAATAATCACATATGAATTACAAAAGTTTCAATAAACATGGAGAAACCTTCAGCTAAACTGAAAAAACTGGATTTTACTCAGACATCAAGTATTTTTTTGTTAAATTTTAGCTCAGTTTTATATAATTCTATAATATTTGATAAACTGAAAACATTTCAGTGGCAAGCTGTCACTTCATATTTTACAGTGTTTTGTTTTGAATACTTTTAAGCTATTTGCTGCCAAAAATTTGACGGAGAGATCTTGAGGCTGACTGGGTGTATATAACGAACTGTTTGGTACTCGCATCCTATTGGTGCAAAATTATGGTTTGTTAGATTGTGAAATCGGCCCTTAAAGTAACATCTCGAAGAAAAATAAATTGACAATTTCTAGTAATGCTGGAAACCACAATTTCGCTTATGGAGCAAATTTAGGTAATGAAATGTGTTTTTACTCACCAGCCATCGATCTACCACCGTTGTACCCATCTTAACAATGAGTGACCATTCTCATTGTCACAGCTTGCGGCCCTGTAAAGATAATTTCCCAATTAAAATGTTTACCAGCCCAGATCCGTCCTAAATGCCCACTCAGCGCTACAAAATCCCTCAGATTCATTTAAATATTGAATATGGGCTGCCTAATTAACACTTAGTCCAGTCATAATGCACCTTTACAGATCATATATGAAAGACAAGACATAAAAGTGTCACGTTTTTATCATATTCCTGCCAAAGGGTGAAAATCGTCACAAAAATAGTTCGTCAAAAGTTATTTTGCATGCAAAGGGCAGCTTCCATATTCTTGTGTTTCAGCTTCTATGCTAAGGATTCCTTGCAAAATAGGGAAGTATACGACAAAGTTAACACGTTGTGAGGGTAGTCTTGATTTACACGTTAAGATGCAAAATACAAAAGTGATGTAGTGTTAGGAGCCAAAGAGAAAGTTTATTTGTTCATGTCAAGCTATCAAAAATTCTCTTCTTCAGGACTCTCTACAAAAACATTTCATGAACAACAATAATCATTACAATATGAACAAAAAACTACTTACAACGTTGAATTCCTGTTTCAGGACAAGTGATCTCAAAAAAACGGAGGAACATCAATAAAACAACAAATTCACAGGTCATTATATGAAAAACTGATGATTGTTAAAATTCATTATTGAAGATTTAATACCTATTTACGTTAATTCCATAGTAAAGGATTTACTGGTGAACAAATGTAGGGAATAAGGTACTTTTGAAAGGTTATAAAGAATTGGAAAATGCATTGATGAAAAAGATATACAAAAAACATACAAAACACTCTTTGTTTAATTAATATTTATTGACAGTGTATTGATGAATGTAACGGGAATAATGAAACAGATTGTCACGGCAGAGTGACAGCTGATTCTGGTACTATCTCAAAATTCCCCATTTCGAACACATAATTCTGACGGATCCGTCAACGTCAGGTAGTCAGAGCCGTATTATGTTTTGGTTTTTTGGATGCTACAGATTCAGTTTGTACTTGCTAACAGCTTGTTCATTTAGAAAATTGCATTTGCATACAAAAAACAAAACGCTACAAACAAATTTTACTAGATTGACACCTGATTCAATATTGCCAACGTCGCAGACTAATACAAAAATGTCACAGCTGTTCACCTCAGTAGACGCCGAAGTGTGTTGGATGCTCGTAAAATAGGGTAAATATCATCTGCGGAGATTGACCTTCCTAAGGGAAATTCCGAACCAACTGTGTTAGGCTGATCCTAAATGCAGCTACTATGCGCTCTTGCACACGTATATGCATTGGGAGATAGAGGATCATTGTTTTCGTTCACATCCAATGAATTTTGACTGTCGATATTGAATTTGTATCTTTAAACATTGATATATCGCAGATCAACAAGAGATAAACTAAAGTCGCTCGCGCATAGCAATCAAATTGTCATACTGACTGTGACAGAGCATACATGTGGAAGTCTTACACGTTCGTCAGATAAAATTCGAAAACGTATGTTTGTGAGCTTACACAAACAAACGTTCACGCATAGAGGCCAATTGTATCTGTATGTGTGAGGAAGGTAGATATATGAATGTAATTCCTATAGTTTCACTGTGTTCTGCCAAAAACGGAGCAAAGACTTATGTATACAGGGTGTTTCAGTTTATTGTTGCATAACTTTAAGATTCGATAGAACCTTTAAAATGAATGCATAAAGTCTATATAAACATGGGTCGAAAAATGCCTGGCTTCCGAAATACAGGGTGTTTAAATTTACTTTCTAAAATAGTTTTTTTTAAATATTTCGAACAATATTTGATCTATAGCAGTGAAAATTGGTATACAAGGGTTTTTTGGTACGACATAGTTTTACTGTAGCCGCTAGAGGGCGCTCTCTACTGTACCTGTAGTGTATTAAAACGACCGAAATTTTTCTTAGTGCCATTTTTTGCTTTTTGAATAAAAAAACTGATTCACCTTTCAAAATAAAAAAGCTCTCCTGTGAGTTTTCGTTATAGTTAGCCGTTTTTCAGATATTTCGATTTTTAAGGTTCGATGGGTGTTTAATTATTTATGATAAAATAACGTTAAAAAGTCAGTATCTCGATAATTTTTAGAAGTAGAATAAGGTTAAACGTCAATTAGTTGACAGTTAGTTTTGTTGTCTGTTGAAACCTGAAACGTTTATTTGCAATTGTGAATGCACGAAATTTAGTTTCTTTTACCTGTTTTTTTTTGTAAGTTTTATAAAAATGCCATTTTTATTCTCCAATCAAGAGTTAGCGGATATTCATTTTGTGTATGGGGCTTTGTAAATGGAAACGCAGCAGAAGCAGCCAGAGAATACGCACAAAGATTTCCAAACTCGCTCAGTATTTGTAAGAGTGCATCGCCAAATAATTGAAAATGGTTTTGGAAATCTCCAAAGGGATCAAAACATAAATGTTCGTCAACGCAGATTTACCCGTATGATTCTGCGTGTGTTTGATAGAGATCCGACCACAAGTGTTAGGAGAGTTTCTGGTGCCTTGGGAGTTTCAGCAAGCCATGTTCACCGTGTTCTTAGAAATGACCATAGACGTCCTTACCATTTGAACCGGTGCAAGAACTACAGCCAGAGGACGGGGAACGAAGAATCACATTTTGTCAGTGGATTCTTGATAAAACTGATAATAATAGGGAGTTTTTAAGTAACGTTTTATGGACCGATGAGTCATGCTTCACTAGACGTGGAGTGGTAAATTTTCATAATCAACATATTTGGTCGCATGAAAATCCGCAAGCAGTTCGGGAAAGAAATTTTCAGCATGAATTCAGTGTGAATGTGTGGATTGGTATCTACCGTAATCGACTATTTGGACCCTACCTTTTGCCTGCAAGGTTAAATGCTGCCACCTTCTTGGAATTTTTAAAGGCTGAACATGCAAATATGTGGGATGATGTTATGTTAGATTTAAGAAGATTGGCCTGGTTCCAGCTTGATGGTTGTCCAGCTCATTATTCGAGAATAGTTAGAAACTGGCTGGACGAAAATTATCCAGAAAGATGGATCGGCCGTGGAGGACCAGTCGCCTGGCCTCCACGATCCCCTGACCTAAATCCATTAGATTTCTTTGTGTGGGGATTTCTAAAAGAAAAAGTGTACCAGACTCCCGTAACCACAAGAGATATGCTAATAGACAGAATCAGGAATGCATGTGATGAAAGAAGGCCTTATTTGAATAATGCTATACCACGTTCGTAGATGTGAATTATGTATTGAGCAATTGGGTTTACATTTCGAGCAACTACTTTAGATTTTTTATGTTTGTCCTAACTATCCAATAGCATTTTAGTTGTAAATAATTAATTTAATTTGTTAAAAATAATATTGGAAAATTAAACAAATTAATATTCTGTTTTTTTGTGTTTATTTGGAGTTAGGAATTATTGCTGTGTTTAAAAACAAAATCTAAACGATCATCTTAATTACTTGTAATGCCCAAATCGAAAATGTAAAAAAAAATAATTTTCCCATAAATAATTAAAAATGCATCTAACCCTAAAAATCTTAATATCTCAAAAACGGCTAACTATAACGAAAACTCATAAGAGAGCTTTTTTATGTTGAAAAGTGCGAGGAATCAGCTTTTTTATTAAAAAAGTAAAAAATTGCACGAAGATAAATTTTTCGGTCATTTTAATACACTACAGGTACAGTAGAGAGCGCCCTCTAGCGGCTACAGTAAAACTATGAACATGGTTCGTTTTGTTGTACCAGAGAACCCTTGTATACCAATTTTCACTGTTATACATAAATATTGTTCGAAATATTTAAAAAAAAAAACTATTTTAGAAAGTAAATTTAAACACCCTGTATTTCGGAAGCCACGCATTTTTCGACCCATATTTATATAGACTTTATGCATTAATTTTAAAAGTTCTATCGAATCTTAAAGTTATGCAACAATAAACTGAAACACCCTGTATAGAACACGGTTGATCTGTGGTGTAGCGGAAACATACTCGTACCTTCATGCGCATTCTTCAGTCAAGTATTTTTTGGAGTAGTTTGTCTAGGCTATATTATTGACGCGATGGAAAAGCGAATAGGTGCCGTAGACCAGCACCAATCAATTAGTTAGATATAAATCATAATCAGGGGCCGTAGGTGGTCGCCACTTTAGGGCCGACACAGATTAATTTAAATAAAGAATGATGAGCCGGAGGTCGGAACAGTTATGTTGTTACAAAGTGCTTTCTATGTTCCTTACAAGGGTACACTGACGGAGACATACGAGTATCGAGTGACGCTGGTCTCTACAAGGTGGCTCATCAGAGCAGTTGCAAAGAGAAAAAGAAAACAGGCACAATGATAAGTCTAGTAACAACAACGGAACGGATTCAAAATCACCTTACGTGCCATTTCCGCTATGAAGTTTGGCTATCATCAATGCCATCTTGAGATCTGAGGCTATTGCATGAAATAGTGGAGTGGAGCTGCAACAGAACTATTATCTGAGATCCCTCAACTAGCACATTGCCCTTCAGCTACTACTGCACTTGCTTCTAATTTTACCATGCATGATAAGTAGTATTTTTTCCGTGGGTAATGTGACGTAAGTATTGTAATTTTCTTGTTTTATCGATAGCTAAAGGATGAGGGTCTATGCAAGGTTTTTGGCTGTGAAATTAACTAAAATTTTTGCGTTCAACTGTTTTGAACTTTCTTTCTGTTTTAGTACTCGATTGCTCCCCCAAAATGTTCGCTGTTCTAGAATTTTTGCAAAAGTCACCTATTTTCCGATATTCAACTTGCTATTTTTATATAAGCTCATAGTCGGATCACTTTCTAGTTCAAATCTGTAATAAAATACACTCAAAAACAAAACATATATAAACAAAGTGCTGCGTTCACATCAAAAACCAAAAGTTGAAGCAAGTCAATTACAATGAGATTTCATATTTTATTTTTAGAGAGCGAGAGCAGTATAGCAATAGCTTTTATCTCCTTTGCCTTATTATGGATTTGAAGTACCAGCACGGTGGTATCT